GGGGGGGGGGTGAGTTGTTGTGCGATGCCTGGCTGGCCGTATGTACGAACTTTGCAGGCAGGAATTCAAGGGGCTCGGTCTTCTGGCAACCCGTGCATGGTTCCTTTCATGTATGAAAGAACTTCGTCACGCCCTACGATGTACACATCATCCAACAACATAATGTGAAGCCGATATCGCGTCGATGGTACACCGCCTGCAATTCCGTCATGAAGTTTTACGGTGCGCTTGCACGAGTGGGGACAGCGTGGCCATCGTCAACCATGGAGACCATAAGTTTTGAAGTTTTGTTTAATTCATTCATTCACTCAATGTTACTCCACACGTTATATAGACTGCACGCGTTGCCAAAATTTACTGCAGGACTGAAGGCAGATGTTGGATGATGTTCAAGGGACAATATGTGTGGGAAGACTTGTGCTGGTTTTGAAAAGAATCGTTGAATCTAGACCCGATGGAGTCGAAATACTTGTTGAACATCCGGTTATCTCGTATGTACTCCTATTGACATTTTAACTATTAGTATGCTAGAGATATTTGCATGCCTATTCCTGGATGAATTGTGTCGTTTTTATAATTATTTTAAGTGCTACAGTGAAAATAACAAAGTCAAACATCTAGAAAACATGGGTGGATGACCGGCTCCCGTATCATGTCTGCTCCGGATACTCCCTCCTGCCCTTTTCAACTTTTGTCTGAAGTTAAAATATCTCTACTTTGACCAAACTTTTACAAAAGATATAGACATCTACAATACCACATCAATATTGTTAGATTTTCAATGAAAACTTTGGAGATGCCCTTGGGCGATGGTATGGGTTTCTTTTCGGCGTGCCAGGTGCTCGTTCAGGCAGGCCCAAACAGTGCCAGTGTGTCTGAAGATCGCATCGACATACACGCTCTATCTCATCTAGGTCTGGGGAAGGATCGAGGCTGTGGAGTATGGGTCAAACTCAAACGTGAAAGTGGAAGCACTAGTACGATGGACAGTTGGGGCGTGACGACGCACCTTGTGCCAAACAAATTCATACCGCAAGCATTAATGGGCTTCCTTAAACAGAAGACGATTTCTTTTTCTGGAACGGCCGGGGTGGGACCCACCGGCCGAACAACGCCACGTGTCGCCACTGGCCGGTCGGCCATCTGACGCGTACTGTACCTACCTTTTTTTTTTTGAGACAAGTACTGTACCTACCTGGCCCTAACGATCTGCCGCTGGGCCGCAAGCTTCACACGGCCCATGCAAAGTAGAGCCCGCTGGAGAAGCATAGCTCAGCAAATTACTGGCAGAATGTAAAATGGCCTGAGGCCATCTCAAAAAAGAAAAGGAAAAGGACCAGGGGTATTTTCTAAGCTTAGCAACTTACTAGCAGATGTAAATGGATAGTGACAGGAAGCAAGGTTTTATCCAGATTCAGGCTCTCACGGAGGAGACAATACTCCACGTCCTGCTCGTGTATATTGCGCTGGGTGTCTATAAAGTACATGTGAGTACTGAGAGGTTGTAATGTGTTCTACAACAAGCCTGACCCCCGTATTATATAATACACCTAGGGTCCTAGGGTTACAGATCCTAGTCGCTACGTCGTTAGAGGTAGAGTCCTCGACAAGTAGAGTGTTCATACAGTTCTCCATGGGTCGCCCAAAGTGGCCTAAGATGAAACCGATCTAGGGTCCTCGGTCTGGCCCACCTGGCCGGGAACCGACATGGTAAGAGACCCCTCGGCTGGGA